CTCCTCTCTCCTCCTCCTCCTCATCACCTCCTTCCCTCCGTCCTTCGCCTCGTCCTCCTCTCTCCTCCTGCGCTCCCTGCCAACCCTCCTCTCCTCCGCCTACCTCCTCCTTATCCTAGCCTCCTCCACTGCGAGCCACCTCCTACCCCCTTCTGCTGTGCTGCTCTTCCCCTCCTCCTCCTCCTCCTCCTCCTCCTCGTCCTCACTCATTCCTCCTCCTCCTCCTCACGACCTCTCTCCTCCCCCTCCTCCTCTCTCTTCCTCCGGCATCTCACTTCCTCTCTCCTCCTCCTCCCCACCTCCTCCTCCTCCTTCCTCCTTCCCTCCACGTCCCTACCTCCTCCCTCCTCCTCCTCCTCCCCCACCCTCCCCCTCCTCCCTCCTCTCCACCTCCTCCCCCATCCTCCTCCCTCCCCCCCTCCGCTCCTTCTCATCCCTGCCTCCTCTCTTCCTCCTCTCATCTCTCTACCTTCCTCCTTCCTCCTTTCCTCCCTTCCTCCTTCTCTCCTCTCCTCCTCCTTCTTCTCCATCTCCTCTCTATCCTTCTCCTCCTCCTCCTCCTCCTCCGTTCTCTCACTGCGTCCTCCTCCTCCTCATCCTCCCCCTCCTCCTCCCCTCCTCCTCCTCCTCCTCCTACTCCTCCCTCCTTCTCCTCCTCCTCCTCCCCCTCCTCACTCCTCCATCCTCCTCCTCCTCCTCCTCCTCCTCCTCTACATCCTCCATCCTCCTCCTCCTCCTCCCTCCTCCTCCTCCCCCTCCACTCTCCTCCTTCTCCTCCTTCTCCTCCTCCTTCTCCTCCTCCTTCTCCTCTTTCTCCTCCTCCGCTTCCTCTTCTCCCCGACGCATTGGGCCCCCCGCCTGAGGGCCACAACAGGCGCACGAGCTGAGCAGGGATCCTCAGAGTTCAGGATGCCTGGCAGGAAACCCTGGGCAAGTCGGCGGAGGGCTTTCGCTCCATGACTGCCAGGGGCGCGACATTCAACATCCAGGCTCTTCATCTGACAGGCCCCATTCGCACCGCAGACGAGACAAGCGATTACAGGATGGCCTGGCTCCAGAGGGTCCTCTTTCACTCGAACCTCGACGAACTGATGCTACCTCCTTCTCTCCCCTCACAAGCGTCGGCTGGCCTCCAGCGCCTTGCTGACGATCGAGCCACCGCAAACGGCGGAGGCAGGCGACACGAGCCGACATCGGATACACCAGCGACGGCAAGGGGGACCACGGCATTCGTGGCACAGGGTGAGGGTCACAACATCTAGCACAGGAACACGTGCAACGCGTTGCCTCTTACACACATGCACCGTGTCACGCGCATCGACCTGCACACCCACCGTGCTAATAGTTTGCGCAACCTGTTCGGCAAGCTGCTGGACACGGAGAAGCCTGGTCTTTCTTTCGGTAGACATTCGACCTGGACGGCCTGCGTGCTTGGCCCAAATGTCAGCATGGAAATTTCCAAAGCGATCCCGATGACTGATCCGACCCAGACCACTGTGCTCCATGCTGCAATAGGCCTTGACTTTGTGAATGCTTAAACCGCTCCCGGACGAACTTCGAAATCTTCGAGCAACCGCTACAACTGTGCCCAGAGAGATGCCCAAGCCGCCTTGTGCGCAGCGATTGCTTGGCACCCTCTCCTCGGTGACCCCTGGTAAGACGAACGCAGAATCCGCGACGGCAGTGGTAGGCGGGGCAGGGATGCGAAGGAGGCCAATGAGCGCAGACAGCTCAGCCCCGTCGACATAAGCGACCTGTTGCGAGCAAGTGCAATGTACAATGTCCTGCACCCCATAAGGCCCCCCAGGAGACAACGCTACAGCAGCCCAAGGCGTGACCGTAAACTCTTGGCCCCAGTGGGCCTCGTAGGAGGAACCATCCGAGTGCGCCTCCCGAGCTACCGAGATCCCAGGCCCCTGGTGATTCCGCCGCACGATGTGTTCCTGCACGGGCGGGCGCCAGACCGATGGCGGGAGGGGCCAGAGATAGCGCTCGAGCAAAAGGCGCACGGGTTGACGGGCCTGCGCCTGGAGAAGAACCTGAAACGCGCCGGGGCACGGGATCTCGTGTCCACATGCACATTCAAAGTGGGGATGCAGGAGTGAACCAAGCTCGCCGCATAAGACGCAGACACTAGTCGCAGCGAGATTGGATGCATGCTTCCTCGCCACAGGCCACTGCCCATTCACAATGACGGACCGCAAGTGCCCATGAGCCTCGCGACTGAGAGTGGCAAGCCTGCGATGCTGGCGGGATCGCGGCCGGCCTGAACTGACAAGCGGAACGCGCGAATCCCAAACCGCCCCCCCTCCAAGTGACGAGGCTCCTCCTCCTTAGCAACTTGGCGCCACTGCCATGCAGCAAACGCGCAGCTCAAGTGCTGGCCGACTACCCAGGGACACACGCACTGTAGATCTAGCTCGACGCCAGCGTGCGTTATCCACAAAAAAGGGGAAAGAGCACTCCAGTCAATCTTGTCAAGCGTGGGTTTGCAAGCGCTGAAGGACCGTTGACTTGGGGTCGATGCCTGCCCGACAGACTTCCCTCCAGCCCATCGCGAACGACGCGCGACGGAACCCCTCCCCCCCAGATAGCGAAGCACATCGCGAGCACAGGCATCAGCGTGGCGCGGATGACGGGTTCCGAATCACGCGCCAACAAAAGCGTCAGGGACCTGGACTTGCCAGCTGTCGTGCCAGCCAGGGCAGCAACAACTGTGCTACGGGCCGTTTCCAGATCCTTCGGCGGGCATCCAGCGACGCCCCATCCAAAACACATGCTGGCCTCTATGCCCGCTCGGGAGTTTGTTTTTTTCACGGCCGAGCGCTTTTTGAAACCAGTCCTACTGATGCCCACTCGCCTCAGACGTTGCCGCGCTCCAAGATGCCGAGGCCATCGCACAGCTCGTCCGAGCCGAAGCCCACCAGAGAGACATCGATGCCCGAGTTCCGCCCCCTGCGGGGCAGCGAGACCCCCGAGATCACGGTGTATGCGACGGGCGACGGCGCGTCGAACAGCACCCTGATGCTGTCCGTGTTTATGCGGGTGTCTATGCCAGCTAGGGCCTTCTGGAGCGACTTCGCAGCCTGCGCGAGCTCCCTAGTGACCCCCCCTGGCTCCCGATGCGGCGCAGTAGAATCGCATCGGCAACAACTGCGGGAATGACAGGGCGATGCAACCCGTAGACTTGATCGAGAGGCCGTAGAAGCACCATTTAAACACCATTTTGAGAAAACAGGTGGCCCAGCCATCGCCTGGCAAAATGGCCTGCTCGACCTCTGGCGGCTCGGAGACAACCTGGCCAATGCAACAGTATCGCGGGGCGCGGTAGTGCACGGTAGAGCGCGACTTGTAGATTCAGTTGCCAGAGAGGGATCTGCGTCGCAATTGCCGCCTCCATCAACCAATGATGCCCAACCTGCTCGAACGCTCTCATCAAATCCAGCAGCGCCATGCCTGGCACCCACACCCCCTTAGCAGTCTTCCGCACCTTAGTGCTCGCGCGCTCGGGCCAAGCGGTCTGCTACCAAACCGCTCAATCGCACAATCGCCCTTGAAGGCCCCGAAGCGAGGCCGATCGTTGCAGCGCCCCCGCTCCTGAGCGATCGGTCGGCGCAGCCGCGCCTGAACGCAAGCCGAAACATGCATGAGGGCTATCGGCCGCACGCCGCCCGGCCTCTTCGCGAGGACGGCGATCTCGCGGGGAAGACTGGCCACGCGGCTGCGGTCTCCACCGCCATCAACGCATCGAGAAGCACCTCGAGCGCCCCATCGCACAGGCTGTCCAGCAGGCGAGGGCGCAGCGCGCAGGGAGACATCCCAGACTGCTTCGGGAAGGCGCGCAGGACCTTGCGTAGGCGGGCCACCGTGGGCCTCTCAGGACGGACCCCGAGATCGCCAGGCCAGGCGAGGCCTCGATGCCACTGACCGGCTCTCCGCCACCTGCCTCCACTCCTCCTGCAGTTTGTCAACCTCCTCCTGCACGTCACGGGGGTTGCACGGGGCCTCCTTGGCGCACTCATGCCGGCCAGGGGGTGCCCTCGTGAGCGCATGCAGGGCCCCCCGCTTCTGCGTTTCCTGCTGGGTCACCCAAGCCCGAAGCGACCGTTGCCTAGCCTCCATGTCCTTCCTGGCGTGCTTCAGGGCCGCGCCGCGAATGGCCCCGGACCGCGCCTCCACCGTCTGGATCGAAAGTGCACGCTTCGAAGGTGGGGAAGAAAAAACAAAACTGGCAGGCCCCGCGCCTGCCTGTGCGCTGACGGGGGCATTGTCGATCAGAATCGATCGCAGGGCAGTGGCCCTCGCCAGAGGATGCGAGGCGGCCGCGGCGACATGCATACGGGCAGACGGGCTCTTTCTCTGTTTGTTTGTGTGCGTTTTTTTTTGGGGGGGGGGCGGCGCCCTCGGGAACTGGGGGATCTTCGGGGCCAAACTGGAAACCCACTTCATCCTCGATCCTTCGGCACGCCCCACATGTGCGCGCGCCCCCCCCCCCCCCCCCCCGCATCACAGAAACAACGCAGCTTATGCTCCATGTGCTGCGCAAAGACGCTCCACGCATGAGCGAGTGCAGACCGATCCACATCGGCCGAGAGCGCAGCTGCACCACGAACGCGCGCAGGCCCCCGGGACGTGCGTGCTCATGCGTGCGACACCCCACTGGCCGAGCAACTGGAGACGAACGAGGAACGGGCACGATCCGCACTCGAGGCCGCACTGCACTGGCAGAGAGAATGAGACGCACAGGTACATGTGAACGCGCGCTGGGGCCTTCACATCAGACATGGCCTCAATGCTGACATGACGCAACGCGTGATGAACCAGAATTCGCTCAATCGCGCGCCCACTGGCGAACGCGGCAACTTGCGGGCATACCAGTTCAGCGGCGAACCATTCAAGAACTCCTGACTGGCGCAGCGACTCGGGGCACCGTTGAAATCACCACCGACAATGTAAGGAACCTGCGCGGAATCAGAAACTCCGCCCATTCAAGCATGATTTTTTGTTGCCGAGGGGTACTCTTAGAGTGTCTCAAGGGCATCTGCGAGAAAACTCTGTACAGTCGAAGGACGATTACGCCGACAGGGCGTGCCCAATCCTTTTGCCGGTTGCCGTAAGCGCTGTACCGCTGGCAAGGGGGTGACTGTGTCCCTCCTTGCGACTGGTTGCAGCGAGCTCTCGGGTCTGGGTGTCCAGCCTCTGCAGTTCAGCTTCGGTCAGAGAGGGCAAACCCATGGCCAGAACCGCTCGCTGACACTTGGTCCGCCTCCTGTCCGTGAGATGCCGCAGCAGTCTGTGTCTCTGCCTAAATTCTGTCCCACAAGACGGGCAGACACTGATATCAGCGATAATCAGCGACATTGGGTTCCGTCTCTTGGGCTTGATCCGCTGATGCTGTAGCAAGTCTTTCTCGCAGGCAAAGCGAGCGGCATCACCTGGAGGACACAGCGTGCAAACGAACGACTTGACAGCAGACCCCTGGGGTGGCGCGTTTTTATCACATACTGATTCGCAAAAACGAATGCGACTGACAAGGCTACCCCATTCCGAAGGATGCTCAACCATGAATTTTTGCCACCGGTCACCGTCAGCATCAGGGTCGAAGCCACGAAGCTGATCTGGCAACGGGAGCCGTTGGCACATGTAGCGCAGGTCATCACGGATTTGAACAATCCATGGGTGGATTCTTCCACCACGCGCATCTGATAACAAGGCGAGAAGAGGCCTCCGTTGGCACATGCACAAGCGGGCAAGGTAACAGAGCCTCCTCCGCCGTATGATACAATCGACGCTGTCGATCTGGTGACGTCGACGGACCGTGTAATCAGACTCACATGAAGCATCAAACTGAGGACACCCACAAATTTGCCGAATGACACGCATGTACGCATGATTCAACGCGCGCAGGAAGGGAACAGTCACGACAACGCACTGGGTGTGAAAGAACAAGCGGCTGTGAATGAGCGACTCTTTCACATGGTGTTTCGTGGACACAGCAACAAACGGGCTGCCAAAAATCGTGCGTGCCAACGGCACATACGCACTCATTGCCGATTCGGCCCGGTGGTTGCCATCCTTAAGGCAAGTGCCTTTCAGGCTGATGTAGCTACCCAAATGCTTGTAACGCTCGACGATGATCAGTTTTATGTCCGGGCACGATGGAGTGGATATGTAGCATCCATCCTCGTGCCTGTGCTTAGCCCAAAACTTCGTGGCATTTCGCCCCCGGTACCTGAGCAGGCACTCGCTTTTGCCAGGGGACCAATTGATGTTGAGCGCAAACAAAGTACAGATCCGCTGCACCGTGCGCAGAACAACGCGAATGGCACGATCGAGCAATGCAGGGGACTCGGCTGTCAACACAACCGCTTCGTCATCAACAAACGTGGCGTCGATGACGTCCACTGGCTCCGCAGGAGCTGGACGCGTCGATGCCCACACCGGGTCCGGGGAGTAATGCGCTCGTAACAATATCTCCGTAGCGGCAAGTTCAGCTTGCAAGACGTGCAATGGAACAGCATAGCCACAATTAAACATGGTCGCACCGAGAACGCATCCCTGCCTCCCCCCTAACTTGCTGGCGACAACTTTGGGCTGATCACCATATGAAAACCAGGAGCCTTGGTGCAATTTGGCCACAAGCCTGGTGATTTTCGGTGAAACGCCCCACTGCCGGAACACATGACCATTGTTTTGGATGTAGTTGACAAGCCAAGTAGCGGTGTCGACATCTATGCCGAGATCGCGCAAATGCTGCAACGGGTCGGGGGCATCGTGGAAGCCAACCACCAGCTCTCGAACGATCTGGTCAAACGCCTTGATCAAGGCCAAGAACAAAACGAAAATCGATAAACAGTGCAAGTTTGCATACTCGATCGTGGCACGAATGAGATGATGAGCATAATCTGTACCTCCCCCTTGACGGCCCCATGCTGGCTGGGGGGCAGCCGCTCTTTATAAATCGGGTCAATGACGCCTCTCAGCTGAAGGCACAGTCCTTTGCTCGCATGGGGCGCGATTTGAATGCCACGTGAGTTGTCGCACACGCCTCGATCACCTTTCTTTTTCCACAAGTCCTGCATCCGAGCCCCCATCCACTCGATGGGTCAACCGGTCGTACTGGGCGGCAAGGGCCATGCCTCCCGCTTGCAGCAGTTCCGCAGGAATCCTATCGCCGCCGACCCCTTTACCCCTGCGCAGGGCACTGAAGGAGGCGAGAGTGGAGGTCGGGGTGGACTGGAAACCCCCCCCGTCGACCGGACTGGGGGAAGTTGAAGACGGGGTGTTATAAAGCTCCTTTGTCAACGATCCGCCCTCGGAACACAGAGGCAAAATGTCGCAACCACCGCGCCTGCCGTTCCTTCTCATTGGGCACAAGCTTACCGTCTTCATCCTTCACGGTCGCTGGAGGGGCCCTTTTACCGTCACCCCTCACGTGTCGGAGGACGCGGTGCATATTCATCGGTTCGTTATTGCGCGCGGCGCACTCGATCTTCCAAGCGAGATCGTGAAACATGCGCTGCCGGTCAATGCGAACCAGGGGTTGGATAACAAGCTTGAACAAGCGAAGACATTTGTGAAGACAAGCAACAAACACACGACAGTGATGCAGCTGCTTGCGGAACTCGTGCGCCCTGCTCTGGGCAAGCCACCCGCAAGTTGCATTCGGGCGCGCTGGAAAAGCGCACGGAACCGCGGAGGCCAGCACGCTGAACACAAGACGCAACACAACCCTCTTGCGAAGCTCGTGGAACTTATGGAGCGTTCTCTGCATCGGCGCCACGTGCTGGACGACGCTCCACGTCATGGCCGAAAGCCACGTCTTCTGGGGTTGGGGCTTGGGGTGTCCAAAAGCACGCAGTGCCGACTCTCGTGTCCACTGTTCCAACTGCGCAAGATGCTGATCAACATCGAGGCTGCTGCAATCAGGCATGCAGGACATGTGATGCTGAAACACACTGCGCGCCCTGGGATCATGGAGCCTAGTCTTATCAAAAGCGAAAGGTATATTCTTTTTGGCGATTTCTTGATCCCCGCCCCTGGGAACAGAAAAATGGACAACAAGCATGCGATGATCGACAACATCGTCAAAAGAGAGCGGCACATCTTCAGCAACGTACGCATGGGTGGCAAAATCGTGCGTGCGACCATCCGTGCACACATAATCGATGTGATGAGTGGTGCCGCGCGTACTCCGCCAGGTCCAACCATGATCAAAGAACGTGGATGTGGCGAACAATTGGGTGGACCGAACGTGCTGTTTGAATAGGCTACCGTTGCTATTTTCACGCTGAACAGCGTGAAGACCAAAGCGATGGTCACGGTCATGGCCAACACGTGCATTTGCATCCACACCTTCAAAGAACAACGCATCGGGGTACCGAGACAACAAATGCACAACAATCTTATCGTGTTCCTCCCAATATTGAATTTTCTGGGCCCAAGTGGCGCCCTGGTGCGGCGCATGCCCGGACACCACGCATAGCCGACGCCGGAGGGCACGAGAAAACCCAACGACGTAGCTGAGCCGTGGGGTCACGTCGGCGTAGGTGTCGTGAGCCCAATCCAGGGCAGAGTGAATCCAAATTTGAGTGCCAAAGTTGCCTGTCGCGTCAGCTGCCGCGACGTACATTGTGTAATGGGGCATGCGTTGAACAACACTCTGCCTGGCCCTGCCTTCTTGGATAGCGACAATGTGTATGTTGGCCTCCGAGGCCAAATCATGAAGCAACGTCACCTTGCTCCTATACATCAACCCCCCCACCCTGCTGTACGATCGGTCCTCTTCCCAAGGATTCAGAGTACGCACGTTGGCAGTTGCGACTCTGAGCGGGACGGTCTCAACAGCGGCATCCGATGAAGGAAGGGTCACAGAAGGGGTAGCACGCAGATTCTGGCTATGGGGTGGCTCGCTGGAGGCCTTGCGCTGCTGCAGAAGGCTCTCAACCCCATGACCCTCATTGACCCCCCGTTGCTCCCCTCCCTTGCTGCTGCAAGGAGGGAGACGCGACGTGCCACATATGCTCTGGGCTCCTTGTTCGGAGGCCCCTGCTACTACAGTGGCGCTCGCCTTGGGGGAAAAATTAAAAGTGCATGCATGATGTGATCCAGGCGCGCTTCGGTCCCCGCATGCCGGGTGTGATCTAAACAAACACATATTATGTACATGCTGCTTGGTACAGAAACCATCGGATAATGAATTCGGGCTCTGTCGGACACAGACCTGCCGACCGATCAATTCCACAAGACTTCTAAGCTGCTCCAGAATAACCGTCGTGAAGGCACGCGGTTCAGGAACCTCCGCTGAGACGGAGGCAAGCGGCAAAGAAGGAGGGGGCGGCTCGAGGATGGAAGAAAGCTTCGGCACAAACGCCGGCGGCCGTGTCAAATAACACGGTTGCGAATTGGAGGTGTTCATTCGGACCCCAAGGTCGCGCAACATCTGACAAAAGCCCTGGCCAGAAGAGCTCTGATACAAATGCAGAGCTGCTGCACGAAACTGGGACGGTCCAAAATTGCCTACCCTGTCGGTGCCGACGCCGGAGCGGCAGGAAACCCCTCGTACGGAGTGCCAGCCGCCGGCCTCTTGCTCAGCGCAACGCGGCGGGTGCACGACACCTGCCCCGTGAGTACCGGGGTCTCGGCGTCTGCCTCCATCACCAGATCCGTAGCTCCCACTGGCGGGGTCCTGGGCACAGGGAAGCTCGCAGCCTGCTGCAAATGGGGATCTGGAAGAGCTGAGGCCTGCGCACGCGTGGCCAGCTCCTGCACGCCAGTGAGAAGGCGTGCCATAAGACTTTGGGCCTCTGTCACGTGGGCCGGCTCGACCGCTCCAGAGGACATCTCCTGCAGAACGTCGGTCAAGGCGTTCTGCATGGCGAGTATGCCGTTGGGTCGCTGGGTGTTGGCCGCCTGGAGGTCGGCCAGCTCCTTCTGCAACCGCTCGTGCTCCTGCAGGGCTGCCGCTTTCAGCGACGAGAGCTGGGTCACGAGCTCGTCGATGAGGGCCATGCGTTTGCCGTTGCGCTCCAGCGCACCACGGCACGTGTCCAGCTGCGCACCGATGGGCCTCGACTTGACCACTTTGCTGCGCGCCGTCTGGAGCGCAGCCTGCACGCTGGAGCGGGCAGCAGCAAATTCCGCTCCCTGCGGGATTGCTGCCAAACTGGCCTCGAGGCTCTTGATCTCGGCCGTCGTCTGTGAGGTGTCGACCACTGAGGCACCCTCCGCGGTCATCTCCTTGACCTTGGCCGCGATTGCATCCAGCCCGGCACGTACTGGATGGTTGCTCTGAGGTGGTGCTGCTCCCGCCGACGCGGCAGACGAGTGAGCCATCTGCAGAACTCCCTCTTGAACGAAATGTTGCTGAGATGCCAAGTGGCCGCCAGCCTCCCCCCAGACCTTCTTCACGCCACACCTCGTGCACTTCTTGTGCTGGTTCCACTGGCGGCACGCGCTGCACTGCCACCACTCCGCCTCGTTGGTCCACCCCGCCGAGCGCGACCAGGACGACGAACGAGACCACGCCATGGACACAACGCTTGTGCGCCGTGACTGTTGCGTGCTGTAAAATGTGCGCGAAAAGATCGGGAATTTAAGGGGGTACAGCTCCTTGACAGGCTTGACCCCTCCCTTGAGCCAAAATGGCTTGAGCCAAAAGTCCGCCGCCCCCATCTCATTGCCCGGGGTCATATACACATTCACAAGGAGCACACCATGTTTCGCAAAGCTTGAATGACAGAGAACGGACACATGACCATGCACCAACATTTCTGATTGCATAGTGCCAAGGCGCTCGAGCCCATGAATACGCGGCACCAAAGTTAGAAGGCCCCCATGGGCCGATCCTTCAAATGCATCTGCGGCTGGAGAGGCGACCGCATGCCAGTCAAGACGGCCCAACTCTGTCTCAACATCACGACAACGATCGCGGGTACACAAATGTGTCTCCTGGACCAAAATCGCATCTGCTCGAAACTCAGGCTTTTGAAGCAAAGTCCCAAGGCTACTGTACGCATTGACATTGACGGTGATGATGCTCCAGTCGTCAAAGCCGTTGCTTGGGAGACCTCGACCGTCCCGATCTCCACATGGTGGCCCGAAGCTCTGAGACAGTGGCGCGTTTACCTGCATCATCTCTACATGCCTCCAGCATTTCGCGTCAGGTCGGATCTTCGATGGGCGGCTTGCTGATCCCCGCAGGAACCAAAGCAGCAAGCACACCACCATCCGCCCATTCACCATTCGCGAGGTCAGCCTCATGTTCCGCTTCGTCTTCCCCTGACGACACAGCATATTGCGCAGCACGAGCGACAGCGCCACCGTCGGCAGGGCGAGCAGCAGCAGCACCATCCCCCACCTGCGGCGGGGGCAGCGGCGGCGGCAGGCGCGGCGGGTGCTGCGGGGCCCGCCGCCGCGGCCAGGGCCGCGAGCAGGGCCTGCCGCGGGGCCTCTGGCGCGCCGAGGGCGCCTGCAGGAGCCTGCTGCACCGCGGCGGACAGCGCCGACGCCAGAGGCGCCACACCCCGGGGAGGAGCGGCGGGCGCGGCGGGGGCGGCTCTCCCCGCGGCCGCCTCCCTGGCCTGCCCCATGAGACTCTGACCCCCCCCCTCCAGCTGTTTGGTCTTCTCCCGCTGGTCACACAAGGCAGCCATGGCCTCCCGAGCGTGCACCTCCTTCCGAGCCAAGGAGCTCTGCGCGGACAGCAGCTGCTCGGCCTTCCTGTCCACCGCGCTCTGGGCGGACTTGAGCTCCTGCACCGACGCCATCCGACCAAGACCGATCTTGGCACGCCAGCGCTGCGCACGAAGCCGATCACGGGTCGAGCCATTCAGGGCAGGGCAAGCGGATTCGAACTGCTCGTCAGGCGTCTGCAACCATGGCGTGGCTTGATCCTCAGACAGCTTCGGCTTCGGCTTCGATTTCTCGCGCCCCCCGAAATTTCCTAGACCAGGAAAGGCGGGTGGTCCGTGGGCCCACTGACCCCTGGGAAAGGTGCGCCATGGGGCGGGAGTTGCCCCTCCAGGATTCCGTCCGTTGTATTGAGCTTGCATGCGCGTATCACGAAAGCCAGAATTGACGTAGACACACGTTCCACACTGCCAGCCATCGCCCTTCTGAGACATCACAGAGAGAGAAACGCCGACAACTATGACACGGAGTAACAGCGCGCACATAATCAGGGATGATCCTCTTTACGCTACCAGAGCCATTGGTAGAACGGATGGGGGCCGTCACTCCCCCGTGCCAAAATTAATTCTTGCCCTCGGGCCACCGCTACGGACTTGAGCCAAAATGGCTACGGACCCTCGTTCTCCTCCTTCTCCTCCTCCTCCTCCTCCTCATGCTCTTCCTCCTCCTGCTCTTCCTCCTCCTCCTCCTCCTCCTCCTCCTCCTCCTTCCCCTCCTCTTCCTCCTCCTTCTCCTCCTCCGTGAGGCGGAGACCCCCGCCTCTGCGGTCCCCTTTTCGCGCTCGGCTCCACCAGACGTCACCGGGGGGCAGTGTGAAGTCGGGCGTGTCCTCCTCCTCCTCCTCCTCCTCCTCCTCCTCCTCCTCCTCCTCTCTCCTCCTCCTCCTCTCCTCCTCCTCCTCCTCCTCCTCCTCCTCCTCCTCCTCCTCCTCCCTCCTCCTCCCTCCTCCCTCCTCCTCCTCCTCCTCCTCCTCCTCCTCCTCCTCCTCCTCCTCCCTCCTCCTCCGCCTCCTCCCCCTCCTCCCTCCCCCTCCTCTCCTCCTCCTCCTCATCCTCCCTCCTCGTCCTCCTCCTCCTCCTCCTCCTCCTCCTCTTCCTCCTCCTTCTCCTCCCCTCCACGGGAGAATGTGTTGTGATAGTGAAGCAATAGTCGGGGGACGATTGGTTCACCGTGTTTCCCTAGTTCGGAGCATGTTTCGACCAAGTTCATGTTTCGTCCAAACACCGCGTGTAGTGGGACATGCCCGACCTAAGGCCAGTGCAGGAGGGGGGGGGGCACCTGTCCATCCAGCATCCGTGTCCTCGGGGGGGGAGGTCGGGTGAGCGACGGGGACACTCAGGAGTGGGAGCACTGGATACCGAGGCGGCGTGCTTTGCGCGCAACGTTGTAGACGACGTATGTTGTCCGTAGAGTTGTCAACACGGCGTATTTTGCGCGCAGCGTTGCCCTCGTGTCAGCATCGACGGACCAATTTGTAATCGTATCCCAGACCCCCTGTCGTTCTGAAATATCACGACGGGATGTTATCCCTATTTCCGGTCTCTGGGGGGCCATACCAGCCCTGAGGACCTTGAGAATATTATTCAGGACGCGAAACCGTTCCCGGGGAATGGGTCGAGACCTCTTGGGGTCGAAACTATGAAAAAGTCATGACGTCGGGGGTCTGGGATTGTATGTGTCAGTACTGGCGCTCGCATGCGCTTTGCGTGCTCATGCCGTATTTGCCAGGAGCGCTCATTATCGGTGTTTGTCGTGGATGGTAGGCCGTAGTTCATGTCGCAGTCTTGTGTGATGGGGTTGCCATGGGAGTCCAGCAGATCCACGAAGTATTTAGTACCGCCTGAGATCGTAGGTTGGTAGTGAAGTGTGACTTCGTTATCAAGATCGCGCCCGTCGTCATTGTAGTTCATGTCGTGTACCGTCATGTGGGTGTACTGGTCAGGTTCAAGGTCGTAGCGTTGCCTGCAGCGTGTGGAAGCAATCACCTTTTTGAGCCCTCCGGTAGTAGAGGGGCCCTATCAATCTCGAGCGTGTTGTAGCCCTCCTTGTTGGGGTCCCAAGGCATCTAGTAGTGGAGCTGCACCTCCGAGTCGTAGGGCTTGCTCTTACTCAGGATGTAGTTCCTGGTCGCATGCCGGTAGCCATCTCGTAGGGGCTGTGGAAGACTTGTCCATAAGGTGGTCCCTCGGAGCGATCGTCTATAGTAATTTCGTAGGCGCCCTCAACGCACTTAGCTTTGCGCATGTCCCTGAGGTAGAAGTAGCGTTTGGTCCATTTGATATCATGTCTTCTGTAATATTGCTCTGCCGTCTTCGCCTATGGGGGCCTTCGTAATCAGTCGTGTCCATGTTTTCTGGTATGGGAGGTCACGCAACCATACCAAAGCTCCCGCTAGTAGGCACCCTTCATATGTGTCGTCCGTGCGTTGGTAGTTCGCAATGGCAGTTATGTATGGAGCAGTATGCACGTATGCTGTATTCTGAGCCAGTATCTGAATGAGGTAAATTGCGTGCACCTCTGCGGAACCGAACCTGATGTACAAGTTATGCGGGCGTGTGTGTAATTGGTGACCATGGAGGCAGGCAGGCCAGTACCAAGAGTATGTTAACAGCGAAGGCGTACATGAGGTTGTCTTATGGTGTCCTCGCCTGTTTTCTCGAAGTACATGTGTACCTCGCGTATTGCCTCGATGTACCATTGATGGCGGAGTGAGGGAAGGGACGAAGCGTTAGGCACTATCGCGGTTATCGTGCGGTGCCATCGTGACTGTATCAGGTCTGCCACATCACATCCCTGTAGGGGTCACGGAGCGCCGAACGAGGTGGGGCGAGCGCAGGCAAACATTCGCCGTGGGGGCTTTCGGTGGAGCTCCCCTACGGATGCCACGGAGCGCTGTGCTGGGAGGAGGAGGAGGAGGAGGAGGAGGAGGAGGAGGAGGGTGGACGCATGCGAACGTCACTGTTGGGGCCTTCGGTGCAGCTCCCCTATGGATGCCACGATGCGCTGTACTGGGTGGGGCGAGCGCCTGCGATCGTCGCCGTTGGTGCTTTCGACGGAGCTCCCCATGGGGCCACGAGGCGCTACACCTGGGTGGGGCTGGCGCAGTCAAACGTCGCCACTGGGGCCCCCAGTGAAACTCCTTCTGCGCCCACGCAGTGCTGTGCGGGGCGGGGCGGACGCATTCGAACGTCGGTTTTGCGGCCTTCGGAGTAGCTCCCTGTGGGGCCACGACGCGCTCCAGTGGGCGAGGCGGACACGTGCGAACGTCGCCACTGGAACCTCTAGTGGAGCCCCTTACAGGGCCACGAAGCGCTGTCTTGGGCAAGGAGGACGCATGCGAACGTCGCCTGTGTGGCCTTTGGGGGAGCTCCCTGTGGATGCCAGGAAACGCTGCACTGGGTGGGGCGGACGCAGCGCACGTCGCATCCGGGGCCTTCGGCGAAGTCCCCAATGGTGACGCCAAGCGTTGTATTGGGCGGGGCCGACGCGTGCGACCGCCTTCTCTGGGGCCTTCGGTGGAGCCCCCCGATGGGGCCACGAAGCACTATTCTTGGTGGGACATGCGAACGTCGCAACTGGGGCCTCCCATGGAGCTCTGCACCGGTCCACGAAGCACCCTGCTCCGTGGGGCGGCGGCACGAGCGTCGCCAAGGGGAGCATTCGGTGGAGTTCCTTGTGGGGCCGCGAAACGCTGTACTACATTCGGGGCCCTGAAGAAGGAACCCTTTTGGTTGGGGAGGGGCTCCGCGTTCCTTAAGTGATTCACAGCTTGCCTCAGGTTTTCCTTATGTTATCGATCGGAAATCGAAGTTTAATTTATGGAAAGAAGGGGCCTCGTTCCTTATTTTGGGTTCCTTAGGTCAACGCCCCGACTGTAGGTGGGGCGGGCCCCTGCGAACGTCGCCTTTGTGGGCCTTCATTAGAGCTGGGGCCACGAAGCGCTGTACTGGGTGGGGCGGACGC